CTTGGTATTAATAACCCAGAAATTTCACTGGTATCAACTAATGAAATTTTGTTATGACAATGTCATAATGCTCATAGGTGATCACAGACAGCTGATATATCAGATATCATTCATTTAGACACAATCTGTCAGAACGAAAGCATAACAGCACAGATGAGTCCTTGAAATACTCTCAGGTTGCCATGGTGATCCAGAGTAGAGTATACATATGTATGAGAACATGCAAATCACTACCAGTAGAACATTTTGAATGTAAAAGGTCAGCAGGTGCCTGAAGCACCTCCATTAGCTTCTTACACATTGTTAGCTAATTAGTTTTGATTAATTCAAGAGGAAACCTCTGTGACGCCATGAAATGGTTTTTCATTTAAGCCCTTGACTCTTCTTTTGTTTGGAAAATGCTTGTCTGTGTACCTTCAGCCTCTCGATGGCCTCTTCTCCGCCCGGCGTGGACATGATGCGCTCCTGGATACTTGAGACGGACTGTAGCCCTGCCTGGCTGCACAGAGAGCCTGAAGATGGAGAGGCTGTCAGGCAGCTCATAGGTGCTGTGGAGAAATGGCCAGGCCGTTGGTTCTCTGAGGCAAGCAAGTATCTATGCTTATTGTTGTGTATATCTTTCAGGTCTGAGCCACAGAGGAGAGACAGGCGATGCAAGGAGGAAGAAGCGAAAATGGTGGAGACAGAAATGTGAGAGAGTACAGGAGACAGAAAGAAAGAAAAAGGACAAAGAGGAGGAAAGGCCAATGTAAGACACACAGTTTTACAACAACAGGATTACAACAAACACGCCAGTCAGATAGTCTGATACAGTTTTCACCTCAGGTCGTTCTATATGAACACATTTCTATCCCCTATACTTAAAAAATCCTATTCATAAATCACCTTTGTTGTCCAGCAATAGCATCCTTAAAACAAGCTTATTAAGACATGTTTTGGGGAATGTATCTTAATTTAACTGTATTTTGTCTTGTTCCATTGGCAATTCTTTAACCGTAAATCTCACTAAATATAGCTTAAATGAGCAAATGAAAAACATGATGGACCAAGACAAATACACGTAAATTCATTTTTTTTGTCTTGTTGAAAATTATATTTTATTTGGAAATGCATAAGATTATAGAAATAAACTGATGCAGTTTCATGATGACATGATACATTCTCAGAAATGTAGTCTTAATATATACAATTTTGCTTCTTAGGTAAATTTGTCTTGTTTTAAAAATATTAATTTCAACTACAGTATTTAGAAATTTTGTCATTTTTAAAACACTGTATACAATATTAATATGTGGATAATATTTTGTACAATTTTGCTTCTTAGGTAAATTTGCCTTGTTTTAAGCATATTAATTTAACAACAGTATACAATATTTTTGAAACTGTCATTTTAAAAATTTTAATATCTGGATGTTAATATTTTATACAATTTTGTACATTCTTCTTAGGTCAGTTTAACTAATTATTATTTAAAGAATATAAAATATCTGCATAATAATTTTTAAAACTAATATTTTTACTTTAAAATAGTTTACTTGAAAGGTACTAATTAAGAACAGGATTTTTGAAGTACGCACTTATTTTAAGCATTATTATGACAATAAATGGCATCGTTTTTTAATAGTAGCATGCTATAAATATGCATCATATTTAATAAATTATGTAATGTTCAACAACATGTGACTTACAAACAGTGCAGTCGATCTTACAAGCACTTTTAAATGTGATAAATTACTTCTTGTGATGTGTTAAATCAATTCGACTTAATTCTGTCCTGGGTGAAAACTGACATCACTTCTCAGATGTGAAAAAAGAGATGTGGGGTGGAGGGATTGCATAAAGGTCACAAACCAGGAGAGCGAGGCTTGGCGGACTGGAGACATCACTTCTCAGATGTGAAAAAAGAGATGTGGGGTGGAGGGACTGCATAAAGGTCACAAACCAGGAGAGCGAGGCTTGGCGGACTGGAAGAGCAGTATGATAACATGCTGCAGATACAAGCTATAAAACGTCTTTTCCACGAGGCACATCGCTCTTAAATCATGATGCTGTCAATGTTTGGCTGCCACAAATCTCTTCAAAACATCTTTTTGGTACAGCCACAGTGACTAGGAGGGGACTGTGCTTACAAAACCTCTCCCAGGGAGCTTTATCGCAGTTCATTCGAGCTTTCTGCTCCATATTCACTCTATTGGATTTTTCCCCCACTTCATTTATCTGAAAAGACTCTCCTGAAGCAACTAGGCCAACATGGCGGCATAGCAGCACTGCATTACATTACTGTTCATGCGTTCAGATGATGCGATTGAGGCCGCTAGCACACAGACCATGGCAAGCAATTCGGTCAAGTTAAAATGTTTGCTTTCCCAGCGCCATATGGTTGTAGCGGTAGAAAGCACAGTGTGCGTTCATCTCTCTGCACATATCAAGAACTCCCAGACAGATAGAAAACCAAATAGCCACCTGAGCTCTGATTCCGTTCTGCAGCTTTTAAAAAGGTACACAGAGCTTGCGTAAGAGGATATGAAGAACAGGGAAGGAAAAAGGATTCAGAGGCACTTGGACAAAGGCAGCTACCTATTCTTACACTACCACTGCAACTGCTATTCTGTGAATGTAAGAAAACATGAAAACATGCACCTTTTGCCCGATAGATCATTGTTTTAACATCGTTAATAGTGTGACCTGCAATGAACAGTTAAATGACAATAAAACCTCACTAGGCAGAAAAAAAGAGGAAGATTCCATTAAAGGACAATAGCAGTTAAATGACAAAATATAATCAGATTTAAAAGAGTGATATATTAAAGGGATAGTACACCTAAAAATTATCATAATTTATTGTTGTCATTCCAAACAGTATAACTTTCATTTAAGCCATACGACTATATTTTAAGTCAGTAGCTTTGTGTAATGAACAAACCAAATGGAGAACCAAATGGAACAAGGCAAAATCCATTTAAACTGAACATTTGAAAATTTGTCAGATTATGGCCATAAAAAGGCTAGCAATGCCATTTCATGTTGATTTTCAATTCAAGACACATTCTCAAAAAAGACATGTTACTATTAAAGGGGTCATATGATGCTGCTAAAAAGAACATTATTTTGTGTATTATTAAACTACCATTAATTTTGACAATGCATGTGTATATTAATATTATATAAAAATCTGCTTCTTAACCAAATTGACATTCAACAGAATGTCATACAACAGAAGTCCAAAACTGATTTTCTTCCTTTAATTGCAAATAACATTTGCAATTAAACATAACATTTGCAATTAAAGGTTTGTCCATTTGGTTTGCTCATTACACAAAGCTACTTACTTAAAATATAGTCATAGGCTCATATGGACAACTTTTATGATACATATTATACTGTATTTTGGAATTTTAAAAGTATAAATTACTTTTCCTTGTATGGAATTGAAGCTAGGACATTCTTGTGAAAGATTTAATGATAACAAAATGTTAATTTCGGGGTGAACTATCCCTTTAAGTGCTTCCAGATGCAGTCTATCAGATCTATCGTGCTGTGGCGTGGGGTTGGGCTTAGGCTTATTTGAAGAAAAGCCTGCCATTAAGACTGCACCATGCCAGACATAAAGCATAAAGCCTGCCAGTGGCAATCTAACCCATCCAATCCATCTCATATTTATCTGTTGTATGCCTGGGATTCCTTGCAGTAAAAAAAAAAACGGAGGCATGCAAAGCTGACACGTTTGTATTCCAGAAGCGATGAAAAGGCTACTGGTAACAAAAGGGGAGAGCGAGAGGATGCGGCCCCGTCAAGCTTATACACACATTTGCTTCCACTTCCAAGGTAATCATCCCCCATTGGCTTGACTGAAGGGAAGCAGGAAGAACAGGAGAAGGTTGAGAGGTCAGAGTCGAGAGGACTAGTAGAGGAATGACTGACTGAGGCAGTTAGATTTGACTAGACAAAACACTGTGAGGACAAACATGAGATGGAAACACTTGACTTGTTAAACTGGACATGTTGTAACAAGATTTGCATTTTAGAAAACAATATTGTAATTTCTAACCATCATATCCCTAATCTCCATCGCATGTTGATGAAATGGTTAAATGAAGATGTAAAAGGAACAACATGAAGACAATGTAGGCTGGGCGAGACTGCAGCATCGGAGCTGAAGAATTTGCCACTTGTGAGCACAGTAAGTGACCTCCTAAATGCCTGGCAATTGGCATGTATAGAAGAAGCCATTGGGGGGGCGCTGTGCCTCGACTTACTGTCCAGAATGTCCCCAAGCCCCTGGGCATGGAGCAGCTCCTTTAGACGCGTCACCTCGTCCTTCAGCTCCCGCACCAATTTGGCGTTGGGGTCCTCGTTGATGACAGCGTTGCATTTGATTTGCTTGGCTCTGTCTGCATATCTGTGAATGAGCAAACAATGACAATGATCCAAATAGCCATTGATATCACAAGAGTCCCCTTATCACAATCAAGACCATCTAAGAATTGAAGTCACGCTGATTAATGGGAAGTGCGAGTAGGATGTGAATTCTTACCTGAGTGTGCTGAGAGTTTCATCATAGTTAATGTCAGCAGGACTCAGGGCGGCCACCATAGCTGTCCTTGAGTTTCCTCCTGGTGAACAAGCACAATTAGGCAAACAATTAGAAACACTTAGTAATGCAAATTCTTTTGACTGGAGTATTGATCTAAGACAGGCCAATGAGTTTAAAGGATGCACCTTCCACAGACCATTAAAAAAAAAACACAAGTGTAATTTTCTGTTTGATTATTCAGATTAGTTTTACATGGTTAAAATTCATTTTAAATGGTAAATCTCTGCAATATTTTCATTTAATAGCTACTGGTTGGCATTGTATGAAAACATTTTATTTCAATCAATGAAAATATTTTATATAAAATTGAATATATTTTAAATAAAATAAAAAAATAAAATATTTTTGTTTTAAACAATGAAGTGGGAGAAATATTCATTTAATAGTCCAATCACATTACATAGAGAATTGTTGGATTATTTTGAAATACAGTCTATTCTAGTCTAGTGGATAAAATATTTATAATCATTATGGATCTTCGTCCATACCTAAATTCTCTCTGAGCAGCCATGTCAACACGGAGTCTCGGTAAGGAATGAAGTCGGTCTTCTTTTTCTTCTTGCTCTGTTTCAAAACAGCCGGTAAAACATGTTGGAATATAGCATGTAAATACAGCTACAGCTGCAATAATAATCAAGGGAATTCAGGAAGTGACTTGATGTATGAGACAAAAGGTTACATGGATAAAGGTTGATAGGCTTAGATAGAGACCGTTCAGCGGTAAGTGACCATACACCGGGAAAGATTACCTTGCTGGTACAGTTATCCTGGGTAGGGAAGCATTGTCAGGAGAGAGACAGACAGCACACAGAGATATAGAACTGAAGACATGCAGGCAAACAGACAGAGAGAGACACAGGTATTATGAATAATACTCACCACCTCAGCCAGCGCTGAAATAACCTTTCCTAGTGTAGTTAGAGATTTATTGATGTTTGCTCCCTCCTAAGAAGCACAAACAGGTGGGGGAAAAATGAATAGTCAGTTTTTTGATTACATCAAATTTAAAACATTTCAGCTTAAAATATGTTTGTAGTCAAAACAAACTAAACCTTAGAGGAAAAAAAATAGCTGTGATGCATATTTTTGTTTGAGTGTTTTATGTTCAGTCATGCATGCCACATTCTCAGAATATTTGCAGTGTGTGGAGGAGACTGCAGTCACTTTTACATATGGCAGGTGGTTGTGGAGTTCTAGAGAGGCTGTAAAAAATAGTCTGTACCTTCAGTCTGGTTCCTTTGGCCCCTGTTGAGTCAGCACGCTCACTTCCTGCCAGATCCACCAGGCTGATTTTGCTGACCTGAAACCAGACAGCAGAGACACTTTCAGACTGATCAACACACACTAAAAAAAGACACAAAGGAAATCTCTTCAGTAAGGCATACTACGTACGTGGGAGTGTTTTTTCTTCTCACGTCTATTAGGAATACAATCATATACATATTTTTGATATAGAGACACCCAAATGAATTGTTCTGATGATTCAATCGAACTGATTTAGAAAGCTCTTGTAAATCCTGTGTTGCATTAATCATTCAACTAGTTCAAATAGTTCATTCAAATAGTTCAATCATCCAATCATTTTAGGGCACTTGAAAAATCACTGGTGCATGCATGCAAAACTAACTGTGCTAAAGGATGCTTGGGTTATCTTTTCATTTTGTCGTGCTTGAGTTTGGGCCAGCGGTGCCGCTGCCAAACTGGATGAGTAATGTTAGAGCAAGGGCTAAGGCGAGTCCTGTGTAGTGAATGTAATGTAGTAGCTCTGTACAATAGCCATTGTGTCCGTGGACCTCATAAAGCGGTCTTTGTGTCCGCAGCAATTACACAATGAGCCCCACAAGCACAGGATGAGTGGGACGGGTCTCTTTCTCTTGGTTTTCCTTTCTACTTTGTACAGGATTTGCATCTGAGCTCTGTGAAATGTCATAATGGCTGTGGATGGGTGTAAAATATCTAACCTTCTCTGTGGACAGGTCTGTCTCGCTGTCATACTTCCTCTGCGTGAAAACAATAGTGAAGACTGCGTGAGAGCGGCTGCTTGTCTCATTCATGTTGGTGGCGGCAACAGTTCTGAGGATACAGAGAGCAAAATGAGTGTCATAGGTGTCACATACATATCATTATTTGAGTAAAGCAAATTTATAATTAAGTACAATGTAAATCAATGGATATTACATAATGTAATAGTATTGTCTAACATTTCGTGACCTTATATTTAACATCTGTGTAAAGCTGAATACTATAAAACTAGGGTCTTTAAACTAGGGTCAACCCTGAACTCAAAGTAATTTAGTGAAGAATAAATAAAATATAAAATAAATAAAAATATGCATAACAAAAATACAAGAATAAAGATCGAACCCTGATGAGGAAAAAAAATAAAAATAAAAAATAAATGAAATTATGCATTAAACAAAAAATATGTTTCAAAAGTTTTAACTCTCATCTCAAAGTATTTTGTGAATAAATAAATGAAACATGAATAATAATAATAATAATAAACAATAAATGAAAATATGCATTAATAAACAAAAATTCCGTAACAGTTAACAGTTGAAATTCAGTTAAATTGTCCTTCCAAATGGCTTCCATTGTCCCTCTCACATTAAAAGTGCAATTAAAACATCAAGAATGATTATTTGAATGGCTTTACAATGTAAGAATCAGAACAAGAAATTTATATAAATACATTAATATGGCATTATATGCTATTTTAGGGCAGTCCTTTTCTCTTTATCCACCAATAATCTCTTTATTGGCCTGAAAACGGTTGAAAGGCTGCTTAGGAAGTTCATAGACAGCTCTAGATGCTTATCACCAGAGTGTGAGAGAATAATCCTGGAAAACGCTAGTAAGTGCAGTAATAAGACATCAACACAGCTCATCTGCTGGATATGGCCCTGGGTGGGATGCTCTCGAGAGAAACAGGCTTTACACGTCACATTCTCCACAAATAAACCCTGGGAATCAGCATGTTACTCCTTCCCAAGAGTCGCATTTATACATGACTATCAGTCCGAGTATCACTGGACGAAACTCAACAACACTTTTCCATTTCCCACTTGACAAAAAGTCAAAACACTATCCTTCAACATCCAAAGTGAAAAAAAACTTAAATACCTGATTCTGAATGTTCTACATTGCCCACACAGTAACTTATAAGTCGTATCAACTTACAACAATTTTTGAAAAACATTTCTCTATCTCACCTGGCTTTGTTACCAGCATCCATGAGGTCAGCTATGTCTGTGTAAGACATGACGGCCAGTTTCGAGAGGTCTTCAACATACGGCCCAAGTAGAGGATGTTCCCTGACACGCAGGTTCCCTTTATTCTTAGGGTTTAGCAGGTCCCTCACCCGCTCACAGTATATCTCCATATAAGCCACCTACAATGAGCACATAAAAATGAGATATAACTAGCTCTCAATTATTGAACATTTGAGTAGGCTCTGAACAAGCCCATCACCCCCCATTACATAGTTAGATCTCCATATAAGCCACCTACCATGAGCATATATAACTTGAGATATATATAACCTTAGAATACATAACCTGAGATGAAAGTACATATATTTTTAAAATCTATTCCACATGTTGTCAAAAATATTTACAGCATATTTAATACCATAGTCAATTTGTAACTGAACATGTTTAGCTCTCAATTATTGAACACTTTAGTGGGCTCTGAACAAACGCATTACCCCCCCACTGCTGAGTTTAATGCTTTGAGGTAACACAACAAAAACAGCATTTCAATAGATGGAAAGCTCTTAAGAGCATTTCAATAGATGGAAAGCATGTGAAGTGAGTCACAGGAATGAACTGAGGAGTCGTGATATGTCTGCTGCTCACCTCCACCGAGTACGAGATCTCCTCATTGCTATTGTCATTGATTTTCTCAAAGAGTTCTTCACAGAGCTGGGAGGGGGACAAAAAGAGCACATTAGGGAGGAGAGAGAGAGCGATCGATACAGAGGACAAATAACTCTACCCCTGCCGGATGTGCTAGACGGAGCGCTAATGTCTGCTGGCAATGTCTGCTTAGAGATCAGAAACATCTCAGCCACTGCTGAGCTCTTAAGCATGTCTATTACTTTGTATACATTAAGGTGATACTTAAGCTGTGATATTACATACATACCTGAGGAATAATGCCTTCCTGTCCTTCCTCTTGCTTTCCCATCATGGTGTAGGACTTGCCAGCTCCGGTCTGGCCATAGGCGAAAATACAGACATTATATCCCTCAAAAGCATGCTGCAACATCTCCTCCCCAATGTCATTGTACACAAGGCTCTGTGACGCAAAGCAAGGGTCGTCTGGCTAGCAGAGAAATGAAGAAAAGAGAACAAAACACATTAATACAGACTTTATTTTGGGGGATGATTAATTACAGCTGTAAATCTGACCACATGCATTTTATTGTCCACTGAGCCAGCTCAGCAGAAAAAGCAAAAAGAGCAGGAAAAGGACAGAAGAAGAAAGAGAGAGAAAATGAGACTTACTGAGGTGTGAGACCAGTATGAGTAGTCAAAGCTGAAAGATTTGGGTGGTTCCTTTGGGTTCTTGGGGTTCAAAATAGCTGCAAAAGACAGCGAAAATCAGTATGTTTCCCCTCCCCAGTGACTGACCAATAAAAGTGTAAGGTGGCAAGATGGCTGATATACTTCTCATTTATTTAGATTGTTATGCTGATAAATTTACAATTAAAAAAATAAATAAATGTATACAGTATATATATATATATATATAATATTTCCTTTTATTATAAGTGAAACAATTTTCATTACAGTTCTGCATAAGAATTTTAATGATTGAAAATAATGAAACAGTATAAATAATTAAATGATTAAAACATAATGTGTACTCAAAATTCAAAGTAAAGAAAAAAGTAAACACACAAGTTAACACAAACAAATTGTAACAGACTACACAATAAGAGCATTAGCACCCTTAAATCCATTAATTACACAAAAATTTTAAAAAATCTGAAATAAAATAAAATGCGAACATCAGATGAAAAAATTTAATTAGAAATGTTGCCATGGCCAAAAATAAATAAATGTATACAGTATATATATATATATATATAATATTTCCTTTTATTATAAGTGAAACAATTTTCATTACAGTTCTGCATAAGAATTTTAATGATTGAAAATAATGAAACAGTATAAATAATTAAATGATTAAAACATAATGTGTACTCAAAATTCAAAGTAAAGAAAAAAGTAAACACACAAGTTAACACAAACAAATTGTAACAGACTACACAATAAGAGCATTAGCACCCTTAAATCCATTAATTACACAAAAATTTTAAAAAATCTGAAATAAAATAAAATGCGAACATCAGATGAAAAAATTTAATTAGAAATGTTGCCATGGCAACTAAAAGTAATAAGTTTAAGTTGACATACTAAAATGACTAATTGTAAAAGTGAAAAAATATATATTAAAGCAAAATAGAAATATAAAAAGAACTAAAATTAATTACTAAAATTAAAATGAAACCTGATATTATAACAATAAAAAGCCCATTTAAAATATTAATAAATTGTATAGTAGTATTAATAAAAATATTAATACCTGAACTGAATCCATCATTGATAGTGTTTTATGCAAAGTGAACTGCTCACCTGCACAAAATCATTATTAATGGCTCTAAACTATTAACAGATATCAACGCCCTATATGATCAAACGACAGGGATTGAGTCAGCCTTCAAAACGCCATAAATCACCACTGTTGCTAAACCAACATGTAAAATTTCCAACATTTCCATTCTTCTGATTGAATGAAATGAAAGAGTCACATGTGCATAACTGCTCCACAACCACTGTAAAGCACTTGTTTGGGGGCTATTTTTGATTTCAACAATTGAGACACATTCACCTCAGCAGGGCCAGTGTAAAAAAAACTGATGACTCAAAAATGTCTTTGTGTGGGATCAGCAGATTCACCTATTGCATGTGACTAACCATAATTCTTCCCATTTTTCCAAATGTAACCCTTCCTGTTTTCACTGACAGATCTCACACATACTGTCCACCCCGCTCTCGGCAGGTCGCTACATATCCCTGCAGTCTTAATAAATAGGAATCTTCAGGCTTTTCTGGTATTTGGCGTGTCCCAAACATTCAGCCTGACCCTCGTCTCAACATCACCACACCATCTGAATGCTAAGCCTGGGAGTGAGCGGCCCAAAAGGCTGTGGGACCGCAGGAATCTACTGTAGGATATTTATAGGTATCAGAAAGCCAGCTGCTGCTGCAGTCCCCTCGACTGACTCGGAGTTGACTGGCAGGGCCACCCCCCCCCGAGTCCGTTCGGGCCTTGATTCGATCCAGACGAACGCATTCCACCGGCAGAGCGCACAGGGTGGCGAGGTCAGTTGGCTGGGTGGGCGGAAAAAAACAGAAAGAGACTGACGAATGGGATGCACCCGCTGCTGTCTTAGCAACAATCCAAACAACAACATAACAACAACCTTTCCTGTTCCCGCTGCAACAAAAATGACCCATCAGCCCAGAAATAGAGAAATGTGTTTTTTTCCCTCTCCAAAGCATGGGTGGATGGAAGAAAGAAAGCAAAAAGGTGTGGATTATACATATTTAAAATTCAACGGTCTAATTAAGCATGAGGCTCTCTGCAGTCGAGGACGTTTGAGCCCCCTGCAATGACTAATTCCCCCAGCAGCACCTCTGGGACACTGGCTAATCTCACAGTATTCATCTATTATTCAGTGGAAATGAGAGGGGAGGGCTGGGTACGGAGCCACTTCTTTCTGAGAGAGTCGAATATGAGACTAGAAAGTATAAGGAATATTCAATATACAGGACTATTTGAAATGATTTCACTGGTGAGTAACTTAATATCACTATGATTTCATGCGTCACTCCACCTTAGCTGCGTTGAAATCACGTACTGCCAGAGCAGGTAGTACATTTGATGAAGAATTGCTGCAAGTTCTATAGTTCTACAGAATGTATGTTTGTAGTATGCATGCAATTAATTTGCATTGTCATGTGACCTATGATGTCAGCTGCACCACTTCTCCGCCACTCATGACTCACTCTCTTGTGGCCTCATGGGATAGTCAAGTGTCCATCAGATGCACACTAGGAATATCATCCTTTTCACCTACTATTTTTTGTATAATATATACTTTTTTTTTTTTTTGCACAGGCATATTAATAGCCATATTTAGGCATATTAATAGACATATTTGGACATTGGGCTCGTCTCATGAGTATAACAGATATAAGTAGGGCTGGGTAAAAAATATCGATATCTCGATATGAATCGATTCTCATTTTTACGGAACGATATCGATTCCTAAATCCAAGAATCGATTAGACTAGCCTGTTTTCAGTTAATGGACGGAACATTGAAGGGTACTTCCCATCCAATAAATCACAATAAGCATTGTGCTTTGGTACATTTCATATGAAACAAAGTCTCAGATTTCAAATTCTGTCCATTGTATTGCAGTTAAAACAATAAATGCCGTTTTGGTGCTGTTTAATGTGGAGTGACAGATCGCTGTAGCGCCTCAGTTCAACACAGATGCGGCCGCGCGAGGCGCACGTGAACTGATCATCTCCTCCACATTAATACCCGTTTCAGCACAAAATAAACATGACTAAATATCCGAAGGTAAGTTAAAAGAAAGAGTACAACTTTACAATCCGTATCCTGTCTCATGTAATCGCTCAATCAGTGTTTCAGCCGTGCAAGGACGTCAATATAACAGCTTGTAAACAATGTCACGTAACGTCACATTTACCTCAGAAAAACATATTCGTGACCATAAACTCATTAGTCAGATAGAAAAATAAACTGCAGAGAGGGGCTATGTAACTGTAACTTTATTATTGTAAAAACTTCATTAATTTTTGTTCGTAAAACTCAGAATTGTTGACATTTTGCTAACTCTCTTATATATTTTACAGCATTAGTTGATTTTTTTTTTCCTTGAGAAAATTTGGGATGTACTGTACCTGATATATATCCAAAATAATCTATATTGAATCGAATCGTGAAATTTGTGTCAAAACCCAGCCCTAGATATAAGACTCTGATTTAAACATATATAGCAAAAATTGAGTTGGTAAGTTCAATTATTTATGTGAATCAGTTTAAACTTTTTACAAAAATAGGTTCAAAATTCTGATTCAATGTTTCATTTGATTAAAAATCATTCATTCAGTTAATTTACGGAACAATAGTGTGAAATTGATTATTTTGAATTTGACTTCAGCCAAATTTTCTTGCATTAAACTTTGAATTTACCCATTTTTATTTAAATTTTTTTGGTCAAAATATTGTTTTGTTTTGTTTTTTTAATAAATTTTTTAGGAGGATGCTAGCAGTTAACATCAAAGCTAGTATAAGCCATTTCGAAGGAAATACATAAATATTGAGATATTAAATATCAAAAGGCTAACAAAAAAAATACCTTATCAAAATCAAGATTTTAATTTTATTTTATGCTATACAATCTAGCTTTACTAGTAAAAGGGTAGGACAAATCTGCAGGACCATCCACAGATTGTATCTTAAAGGGGTCATATGATGCGATTTCAAGTTTTCCTTTCTCTTTGGAGTGTTACAAGCTGATTGTCATGGAGAAGGCCTCTTTCTCAGAAAGCCGATTAGTTGTGTGTCTGTTTGGAAAGACAACCAATGTTTCCCAGGTTGGTGAAAGCAGGTCCTTTCCTCAAGTCCTGCATTCTCACATGGTCAATGTGACGGAGGACAGGCCTGTGTCATTCAGGAGAAACAGAGGCTAAATAAAGTGATTACACCTCTGACCTAAGGCCAAATGGAAACTGGAGCAGTGGGTAAAACACACAGGGATTTACATTACTGCAGTCATTCTGCCCCTCTTTCCTGGAACAAAATGCATAGAGGGACTATAAATGCCTCTCCCATCATGCAGTGTGTTCACCAGTCATATCAGAACACTGATGAGATGGGAAGATCAACACGGGGGCCGAAAGACAGGTGGACAAACGGCAAGCCTGGCACATGTGTGGGTCACTTGTGTGGCACATGTGTGGGTCACACAGAGCTTGTACTATGTCTGATGCAGACAGGTTTCATTCTGCTATTTTCAATTGAAAGAGTAAATGCAAAATGATTTTGCATTCAAAGCCCTATAAGCACTTGCAGTTATGTATTCATTAAAGTCCCTAAAAACTTATAAGGGAAACACACTCGCATTAAAAGAAAACACAAAGAGTTCTAATGATCTTATGTTGCCGTTCTATCAACAGCCCCTTTCACACAGTAATACCAGTAAATTGCAGTAAAATTACTGGAGCGACTTTACCAGTAAATACAAAAATGCACTGTTCACACAAGCAACAACTTTGCGTCTTTTTACCGGTAAAGCATCGTTCACACATCGATTTCAAATTACCGGTAAATTCTGTGAAATCATTAACCAGAAATGACCTCTAAACGGCTGTGCATCCCGGTGTTGTGTTTGTAAACATGGAGGGATATACACAGTCAGTGTTTTTGTTGATGTTTTCATTTTTGTGTCAAACGTTCACATTCATGCAGCTG